TTGAGTGGCTTACCAGAGTCCCTCTGGACAGAAAGTCACTTTTGATCATTGGGAAGTATTAACGAAGAGGAAAGGAAACCCCAGCATGTAGCTTACCTGACTCTCCAGCTCCTTCCCCATGGGCTGAGGTCCAACTTGTAAGCATGTATTTCAAATTCACCTCTGTATTTTCTGTGTGGAGTGTGTTCACTTCAGAGCTGACATCCACTGGAGGTCTGCTGATGGGAGGGAGGCTCAGAATCCAAGCGTTAGGCCCACAGTGCACCTCTGTAGTACTGAGAGGGCTGAGTGGCTGGGAGCACCACTGAGGTATTTTCCTGGATACAAGCTGGGGGAGGCCTTTCCTTATGCTTTGAGTGACACTAACCAGTGCTCTCCTTAGCTGAACCAAGAGGGAGTAGAGAAGGGAATATGACTAAAGCCACTTTAGCAGCCACTTGTAAAAGTAATTACTAGATGAGAGAAGGGATAACTATTCTGCTACTAAAGGCTGTGAAAACCGATTAATTCAACAAGCATTTGTTGAGTAACAGTATACAGCAGACATTGCAAAGTGTGAGTCTTGGCAGATACAGATGATAAAGACATATTCCTTCCTTGTGCTGGGCACTTGGGAGGTAGAGGAAGGAGGTGGGGTACAGAATAGACAAAGCCCAAATACCGATTTTGCCATATTACTTGTCTAGTGATAGGATGGAAAGCTTTAAGTGTTAGGGGAATGCAGAAAGTATGCCCTGTGTGATGAATGTTGAGGCTTCAGAGGTCAGCTTGGTCTTGAGGTAACTTAAAGAATGAACTTGGCAGGTAAGGAAGTGGGGAAACACTTGGCTTCTGGGCAGAGGGCACAGTGAGTGCCCAGAGGCATGAATGAGGTTGACGTCTGATGTGGCTAACGCCTTAGCTGCAGGGTAGGGCATGGAAAGGTATAGGGCTGTGGGAAAGGTCCCCTAAGCCAGACAGTAAGGCCTGGAAGGCCAAGTTCAGGAGTCGAGGTTTTGCAGGGTAGAGAATGAGGAGTCCTGGAAGCCTTTTTGAAATTGAGGAATGATCTCCTTTTAGTAAGATACCATGGTGGAACTGTGGGTGCTGCATGAAGTGGCATGAGTCTGGGGGCAGAACTTGAAACACTTGAAGGGAGAGCCAAGAATGTGAACTGTGTTTTCAGCACAGGGGAGAAACTAGGAAGCTGGGCTCCTCTGGGTGCTCATGTAGAAGTCTTCCAACCGCTCTCACCAAGACTCATTAAATTCTTAAACCTTTCTAAGGAAGCCTTTAAAAATATGTGAAAGTGAGAGAGAAGCTTATTGAAACCTTTGAATAGTTCTGGAAATTTATTATAGCTTAGCTCGCAAAGAAAGTATTATTTCAGGCAGAGTGGAACGTGTGGGGACTGGTTTCTCAGTACGGTCACGTAATCTTACAGAATCGAGTGGAGGGAAGTTATTTCAATGGCCTTCAGCCCTCTTCCAGAACTTTGTCCTAGTTCCTCCCAGATGGTTGGTAGAGTTTTCTGATTCCTGTCCAGCACCCTGGCAGTTTAGTGTCCATCTGTAAACTGTAGGGAAGTTGATTTCATCCATTCCTTTTTTTTTTTTTTTTTTTTAAATCTTTCTCATCTCTTGCCTTCCACCTGAGAAAACAAACACTAGTCCATAGGTTCTTCTGTATTAGAAATTTGTAGAATTTGTAATCTAAGATGGATCCAGCTGATAGTGTCAGAGCTTTGGAGTTTGAACTGAAAAAGAGGAGTGGAATATTTCCTTTTCATGTTTTCTTTATTTTGAAAAAAGCCCAGTAACTTGGATGGTTTAAAGGCACAAAATTATAGAAAATACCTCCTGTTAATCGTGTCTCTGGGATAAACCACCTTATTTTCTTTAGATATCATGAAAACATTTCTGTCCACCATGGAGATATAGAACCCCCTGAGCCTTGATGAACAAAAGAACCTGCCAGAATTAGCCTGTTTTTTGGGGTTCAGAAGTCCCACGCTTATGCGAAGCCATATGTAAGTTCCAAAGGCTTAAAATTCCTGTATCTTCTTTGAGGCTTGGATATTTCACAGCCTTGTGGGCATGTCTCGTAGAGATTTGGTTAGCTCATGTCTTAGTTTCCTTGTGCTGGTATAACTGAAAGTACCACAAGCGGATGGCTTTAAAGAACCGAAATTTATTTCCTCACAGTTCAGGAGGCTAGAAGCCTGAATTCGGGGCATTGGCTGTAGGGTCCTTTCTTGTCCATTTCAACTTCTGGTAGTGGGCAGTCTTTGGAGTTCCTGGGCTTACTGACTCTTCTGCTGCCCAGTTCCTATGCCCCAGCAAAAAACACTGGATTTAAACGTTCTGTACGTGTGTAGAGAGCACGTAACTGTGGTGGTGCTGTTTACCTAGTATTTTATGCAAATGGAGACTATTTACTGTTCTGAAACATGGTTTTTCCTTTTTGCATTCTCTCTTAAATATCTTCCCTTATGCGCATGGTTAGAATGATCTCATTCTTTTAACAACTGAATGCGATTTGGGCATAAAGACACTGTAGTTTTATGTCTTGGTCTTTATGAATGGGATTTTATATTTCCGATAAGTACATCTTAGCCAAACTTTCAGAACAGACTGTAAACAGTCACTCAACTAATCTAAAGAAAATTCCTATAAAAATTCATGTGGGATGTCAGCAAAAATGGTGAAATAAGGACCTCAAAAACTTCTTTCTTCCTTAAAAGCAATGAACTAACTGGCAACAGTGATCAGAATCAACTCATTCAGAAGTCTGGAAATAAACCAAAAGTTTGCAGCAAGTGGGGAGCATTTATTTGAGAAAAACAGCTGAATCTTGGGAAGAACAGTGAGCTTTGTGGCCTTTTAACTGGCCTTAATGCCACCCCTGTCTTCATAGTAGCCTTGAACACCAAGAACTTGTAATCACACTGAAGACCAGCAGCCTGGCAGCCACTAGAGGGAAGAAGACAGGGTTGTGCTTCTTGGATGGGAATAGCAGTACTTTTCCTCAAACTTGGGTAGGTTTCAGTCACTATTTCTCAGAATATTTTTCTCTCTCTTTCGAAATGCTTCTCTTCTCCTGGTACTTCCATTATGCATATGTTGATGCTCCTAATGGTGGCACACATTTCTCTGAGGCACTGTTCATTTTCCTTCACTCCTGAATGAAGGAAGCCCAAGGATGTTAGGGTAAAGAGAGCAGCCCTTGGAGTAAATGGCCTGGGCATGTATCCTGGCTCTAGCAGTTATTAGCTGGTTGAATGGGACCTGAGGCAAATTACTTAACTTATGTGCCTCACTTTCTCCATAAATGGAGATGGGATGACAGCGGTAACAAGCACCCAGGGGAAATCTCTTAGTTGTGTCCTCCCACCCAATTTCAGGATGAGTAGACTTTACTAGCAGAAACGACTTCCTGCCTCTTGTACCCTTTTGTCTGGCGGCCTCAGTTAGGTGACTTTAATATTTATGGCACCTCGAATGACATTCTGTGCCTTGTCTGGTGCCCACTTGCACTTGTGCCTGGGAACGAGTTCTCCCTTCTGTCACCCCCACAGCCTCTGGTGGATTTAGGAATGTCTTTCGTTTGGCTGGAAGCCACAGGATTGGGTTCAGTTCCAGACCCAAAGGGCAGCTAGTGGCCACAGTCTCAGGGGTTCCACCAGGCTCTATCGGACCAGCAAACCTGCTCCTTTCTAAAATGATTTTGAGTTTTGTTTTGTTCCACATCATTCTCCCTCTCTATCCAGGATCTCCTACATAGATCCCCCTCCAAGTGGTTGACAGTGGTAGTTGGGCACTGTCCATTTCTTCTGATCTTTTAGTCATATAGGCTGAGGATCGCATGGTGTTAGTCACTTGGACTAATTGTGAAACTTAAAGAACTCTTTTCTACTAATTTATATATCTAATGTTTTATTGAAGTATAAAATCCATATAGAAAAGTATACTATACATACAGAAAATTATATAGATCCTAAGTGTGTAGTGTACAGATAGATGGGTTTTCACGGATTGAATACAACTATGTTAAGTAGTACCCAGACCAAGGAATAAAATAATTACCACCACCACCCTCAAAGAAGAAAACCCTCCTCCTCAGCCCCTCTCAGTCACTACCAACCGTTTTCCTGGCTTGTAATGAACAATTTACTATGTTTGCTTTATCATGTACCTGGCCTTTTATTGACAGGCCCTGGTGGCACAGTAGTTAAGTGCTTGACTGCTAACTGAAAAGTCAGTGGCTTGAACCTACCAGCTGCTCCGTGGGAGAAAGATGTGGCAGTCCAGTTTCTGTGAAGATGACAGCCTTGGAAACTCTCTGGGGGCAGTTCTCCATTGTCCCACAGGGTCGCCATGAGTCAGAATCAACTGGATGACGAGGAGAGTTATTTAGTTCTTCCCCATCCTCTACTATTATTTGAATTTTTTAATATCTCTTACTTTGAAATAATTTTTACAAACTCATTGGGTATTTAATTTATGATTACTCAGCTATCAACAGGGGATGTGTTGGTTTAAGGTCTGGAAATGAAAGATTGAGGTATCTTGAAAGTATTTATGATATGTGTGCTGTTTTTCGTTTTGGTAAATGAGCATAATCCACTAGTAGGAGTAATGACTAATCTGTTCTAGTTTCACCCCAGTGACTTTCTAGACTTTGAACATTAGAATCCACCCCCTGAAAAAGTCACTCTCTTTTGTAGGAAGAGTAACAGCCATCCTTTGTCACTTTTATTTTTATCTTTGAAAGAGGAGGAATAATGACTTACTTGATCCTCAAATGGCATGAGTAGGTAGAATGTAAACTAATTATCTGAATTTTAAACCTCTCTGTGAACTGGAGGAAAAGAAAGAGACCAGAGCATACCCAGGTTCTCAGAGGACTTTTTGGTTAGCGGTACTATGAAATTCTCCAGATTTCATCATGTATCTTGTCTCATTTTCCTGTTATGAAATGGGGTTTTCAGCATCATTTTTTTTTAACTCTGTTTTCAGATCACAGAACTGTGTGGTGCAAAGCGTGTTGGTTATTTTGGTCCAACCCAGTTTTATGTTGCCCTGAAATTGATTGCAGCAGCGCAGTCTGGCCTCCCGGTGCGGATAGAGAGTACTAAATGTGGTGAGTAGCTCACGTTTCTGCACTTTATTGTCCGTGACAGGTTTCTTGTTTATGAGAGTCATTGTCAGTGGGTTTCAGTTTTAAATGAGTTTAAGGCCTGCTTTATAAGATTTTTTGGAATTTCTGCTTGCTTCCCCCAACTCCTCTGTAAACAGTTTTTTTTTTCCTCTCTGCAAAAATTCAGAGAGTGACCCGAGCTTAGTTCCTTTTCACTAACTTGCAGCTAAAATAGATTTTGTTCTTTAGCAGGAAGAGATTAAGACAAGAATTCTAGAGGCTGTGACAAAATAATACTGTTCTGTCTAATTTTTCACTCAGGGCACCTCTGGTGGGATAAGGGAGGAATAACTGGGACACTTTGAGTGGAAGTGTCCCTTTTCTGTCTTTCCTGCTGGTCCTGTCAAATACGATCATCCTTTAATCGCCCAACCCCACAACCCTATTCTTGATCTTAAGTCCTTTGAGACTACCAACATTTTGGCAGAATGAATTTATGTTCTCAAACTTTTTCAAAGAAATTTAATAAAAAGTACATGTATTTAGAAAAATTTTTGAAATAGACAACAATCACTTACGTGGCTATCAACATCACACAAAGATTACAGTTTGTATTACCTTCCAGTCCTTCTTATTTTCCATTTGTAGTTGTGCTTAGACTCATAAATAGTGTAGCCGACATTTCTTACTTATCATTAGCAATTTTTCCATATTGGTACGTAAACCAGACCAAACTCACTGCCGTGGAGTCGGTCCCGACTCATACTGACCCCTCCTTGGGTTTCCGAGGTGATATCTGTGTGGAAGTAGATTGCCCAGTCTTTCTTCCAAGGAGTGGCTGGTGGGTTTGAACTGTCAGCCTTCTGGTTAGCAGTCAAATGCCTTAGGCACTAGGCCACCAGAGCTCCATCATCTCTACGAATTCCCTATTTAATAGCTGCATAATATCATCAAATGCTTGCAACCATAATTTAATTGACCTGTGCTCTCAAGCTTTTGATTGAACATTTTCTTAATCTCACCATCCCTGCCCCCGACCCAACATATGCTTGAACATGTTCATGCCTCCCAGTAGTTGAGAAGATTGGGCAGCTGGCTGTGGAGGACGATGCCCTGAGCACTAACCAGCAGGTGTCGGCAGTCATCATGGTGCTATTTATTAAGGGCTTAGTGTGTGCCAGGCACTGAGGTAAGTACTTTACATGAATTGTCTCATTTAATCCTCACAATATCCTACTCAGATAGGTACTTGTCTCACTTTGCATGGCCTGGGATAAGCTGTGATAACAAAACCCAGCAACATTTCAGTGTCTTAACAAAACACATGTTGCAGTGGGTGGGGGTGACTCTCCAGGACAGTAGCCCTTTATGGGGTCTCTCAGGGTTATTGGCTGCTCTGCCTTGTGGCACCTCCAACTCAGCACAAGGTTCCACAATTGCCACAACAGAGAAAGAGGCCACTGGTGTTGCCCGCTAGCTGTTAAATGCTTTCGCCTAGATGTCACCCATGTTTCTGATGCTCACAGTGCACCGGCCAGAACTCAGCACATGGATCTGCTTCACTGCGGGGCAGTGTGGGGCAAGTGTAAGCCTCTCCTTTGTCTGGAAGGAGAGGAGAACTGGTTATGGGTGAGCCCTGGAAGTGTCCACTGTCCATCTCCTACAGGTGGGGGGAGTCTGAAGTGTAGGGAGGTGGAGTAACCTGCCTAAGGACACAAGGTTAGTAGAGTTTGGAGCCGAGAGCCTACACTTCCCACACTCTGAACTGCTATGGAGAATAGCCTCCCCTCAATTACTCTTTCACTTTAAAAAGGTGTTGATTGTAATCACAGAACATTTTCTGAATGGGAAAACTCTCACCCAAAAGGCATCCCTTGGTGTTTATTACTTAATTGAGTTCTTGGAAATAAGTTTGTCAATAGAGAGTTGTTTCTGCAGCTGGCTTGGTTTTCGTCACTACAAGACATAGCAGCCTTTGAGAAGAAGTCACTTTCTTTGATTGGTTTAAAGAGATATCATGTTTTGATTTGTGTTAGGCACTGAGTGTTTTCATTCTACTGTAAATGGTCATTAAGTTTTATTGCAGCATCTTCTAACTTTACCCTCAGGAAAAGCTAGAGTTGCTTTGTTGTGTGCAAGAATATTTAAACTTCTGATACTTTATTGCTTATTTTAAGTTAGACAGCATTGTTTCCCCAGTTCTTGTTTAGATCTACAGCCTACTGTCCCAGGAGGATGAAACAGGATTGTGTAAATTATCATGTGTGTAAAGGTTAACACTTTTCACAAGTAAACAAAACAAAACGAAACAAAACTCACTGCCATTGAGTCGGATCCAACTCATAGCAACCTCTCCTTGGGTTTCTGAGGCGGTATCTCTGTGGAAGTGGATTGCCTACTCTTCCTTCCAAGGAGTGGCTGGTGGGTTTGAACCGTCAGGCTTCTGGTTAGCAGTCAGATGCCTAAGAAGGCTGAATTGTGATTTGTAACCACTGATGGCCACCTGCCTCTTGCTTCTAAGATTATACCCAGAGTTAATTTTGAATTATCTGCCTTCATTTGAGAGTTTCTTAAATACAAATTATTTCCAGTCATCATATGCTGAGTAGGAATGAGGGCAAGTTTGCGCCAAACTTTGAGTTGTCACTTAGAACATTCCATATTATTGTTTGCAGTTCATTAGCTTAATCTTTGCGGGCACGACCCTTGCAGAGCAAAGAGAATGCTCTGTGAGAAGCTAATCTGAGCGAGCAGGGCTGACCCATGGGTGATGTGCACTTGTGTGGGTGTGTTAACCCCTGACCCCTAGCCTTTCCCATCAGTAAGTGCTCTTTAGTGCTCAAGCCAGAAGCCTGACCTGACTCCTCCTTTTCCCTCACTCCTGTGTATAATCCACCCACAGGCCTGGCAATGGACTGCCAGTCTCACTGCCTGCTCGCTTCCATCTCTCTGCCCCTCTTAGGCCAGGCCGCCTGGGTCCTACAGTGCTTTTTGCTTTGATCCCGTGGTCAGTTTTCCCACAGAGTAGTAAAGTGAACTTTTCACTCCATCAGGTCGTCTCATCCTCCTGCTGAAATCCTCCAGTGGTTTTCCTGCTGCGTGTAGTGTAGAGTTCCAGGTCCTACTGATCTGAAAGACCCTGCCTGCTCTGCCCCTTGCCTGCTTCTCCATCCTTGGCTCAAGCCTCCTCCCTTGCTCCGTCGGTGCCCCCAGCCTCATTGGCCTTCTAGCCATTTCCGGGTACTCTCCTTCCTACTGCACGACATCTGCCCATCCTCTCAGAGGTCTCTCTTCCCCTCTGCTTCCTGTGGCTTAGCTTGTCTTTGAGGATCCCAAGACTATCCCCACCATCTTATCTAATGTACATCCTGTCAAACCACAGTCTTAAAGATGCCAAAAAACATGAAATAGCAAGTCAGAAAGAAGGACCCATCTCTAGGTAGGGTGGACTCCCTGTTGGGTAATGCTCTGTGACGGCAGTCCCTTCCCTGCTTTATTCTCTTTCAGCATGTTTCTTTCACAGCATTTCTCAGGGCTTGTCAGTCTTTCTCTATAGGTTTGACTCAGTTTTTGTCTGTCTTTCTCACTGGTCTGTAAGTTTACCTACAGGGGAGGAAGAGGGTCTGGTGTTTGTGGGGGATTGTAGGTCTTTAGTACATATTTGTTGAATGAATGACTAGGTGAACATTTATGCACAGGGAGTGAGTCTTATTCACCTGCCACTCTGTAAGGGAACAAAATTGGAATGCAGATTCGTCTGGAACTCCCAAGAGGCTTTTACACAGTCACCTAGGTCTCCCTGTTGTCTTTCTCAGACACTGGTTCCTAATCTTGTCTGCACTTGAGAGCTTTAAGTGATGTTTTTTTTTTTTTTTTTTTAATCCAAGTGCCTGGGGTCTACCCGTTCCAGAGATTCTGATGTATTTTGTCTGCAAGGCATCCTGAGCATCTGAACTTTTAAGAGCTCACCAGGATTAAGAATGACTTCTGATGAAAGCTGAGGAGAGCAGTTTGCAAGAGTTTTGCTTAAAATCTGAGTATATATTTGATTATACCAGGGCCTGGATGAGGGTAAAGCAGAAGAGGTATCCAGGATGCCTAATTTAAGGAGACACTCGCTGTCAAGGCTATGTAAGTGCCGACTCTGCGTTTACATGACCCTGAGAGCAAGTGCTTTCTTAAATACTGCACACTAGGTACCACTCTGGTTTCAAGGGCTTCAGCAGATGGGAAACAGCTTAGAAGGGCACATGGTTCAAATGGAGGCTCAGTAGAGAATTGGTAACGAGGCTGCCACACAGCATAGATCTTCCCTGGGAGCTGCTTTACCTTTCTTCCTCAGGCCTCTGGACAGATGGGTGTGAAGACTGTGGGGATGCATAGGCAGGGTCCAGAGTAGGTGCCTCACCTTTTTTGGACCGTGCGCCCCTTTGACAGTCGGCAGTCTATGGGCCCCTTCTTTGATTAATGTTAGAAATGCATACAAATGCACAGAATCCTAAAGGAAACCAGTTAAATCGAAATAGTCATGAAAATATTTGTGAGTCATTTAGCAGCATGCATGCTTCTTTATTAATGCATGAAATGAAAGCTCTGACTGAGCTAAATAACTGCCATACTTTCAAAGTACTGATGAGCCTAAACAATAGTTCAGTATGTCTGCAACAGTATGTCTGTAACGTGATAGAAAATACCTGATTTCTGTGGATGGCAAAGTTACAGGTACTGCTAATGTGACTACAGCCATTTTTTGCCTACACTCAGAATGGAAAGAAATCCAGTGTGTCAGTTAGGGTAGTGAAAATAAAGATGTATATATTTTTTTAATCTAAAGGGATGGACCTTTTGATTTCTCCACAGACCCTTTGGGAGTCTCTGAACCCTAAGAGTGCAACGTCATGCTTCTTGTACTTGGTAGGCCTGTGTTCCCCAAACTAGTTCATGTTCTGATAGCTGTGAAAGGAGAAAGAATTAGGACAAAAGAGTTTGTCATTTATAAAACC